AGGATTTATTGACTTTTAATGCACCTTATTTAGAAATGTACAGAAATATGTGCTTTAATATGTCCTTTAGTTATGATTATTTCATTTATTCACTATATTATTTATTATTAAAGGGGTCATATGATGCGATTTCAATTTTTCCTTTCTCTTTGGAGTGTTACAAGCTCTTGGTGCATAAAGAAGATCTGTAAAGTTGCAAAGACTAAAGTCTCAAATCCAAAGAGATATTCTTTATAAAAGTTAAGAGTCAGCCACACCTACCTAAAACGGCTCGTTCTAACACGCCCCCACATATCTACGTCACTATGTGGGAAGATTTGCATAACGCGCCCAAATGTTCACGCAAAGAAAGAAGGCGTAACTTTTATTCTCGCTGTAGTATTGTTGTTGCCGCCGCCATGTTGTGGAGAAGCTGTGTTTCGTTGTGAAAGCTAAACTACTTTGTTTAGTCTTCCAAAAGAGGACACGACTAGAAATCAGTGGTTAAGTTGTATTTACAACGCTGTTCCAGAACAGTTATAACCATTATAAGGTTAAATATGGCCCCTGTATTTAGATGGTTGAAACAGACGTTGCACAACAAAACAATGTTGTCAAAAGCTGCATACATAAAATTAAGTTTTAAACATATTGTATATAAATCACACACACACACCAAACACCTAAAATGGCTTCTAGAGGATCAGAACGTAAGAGAATATTGTGAAAGATAGACAACCAATTGCTCTTTTCTCTGAGGTGATTTGCTATTAAAGAATCAAAACATTATTCTTATGTCTTGTCTGTTAAGTTTGGTTCTTTAAGTTCAGTTTCTTTACCTTTTTCAGTGTCCTTGGTTGCTGATTTGATTATTGAATAGCCCTGTTCCTAGTTTTCTCCCTTATTCAGCCTATGTACAGTATACTTATACTGTTTGGTCCAGCTCTTTGTCTGTTCAGAAGTCAGAAAGAGCTTTATTGCCAGTATGCTTGCACATACAAGGAATCTGTTTTAGTGTCACAAGCTTCCACACAGAGACGACGACAACAACAACAACAACAACACAGATAATAAAAAATAAGATGTGAATAAAATACACATATGTATATATAAATAAACAAACAAATTGAAAAAAAAATTTGAAAAAAATAAATAAAATGTATGTACAGGTGCTACAGATAGAATAGGAATAGAACAGAATAAGATGTAGGGATGTACTAGGATGTAGGGTGGTAACAAATAAATATAATGTTCTTGCGCATATCTTTATTGCACAATGGGGAGAACGTTTAACTGTCCATGAGGTAGATTGCCTGGGGAAGAAACTGTGCTTGTGCCTGGCTGTACTGGTATTTATGGCTCTGAAGCACCGGCCAGATGGCAAAAGAGCTACCTGAGCTTCAGGTAGTTGTGACTGCACCAGACAGCCAGCTCTTTAAGTCTGTAGGCAGACTCGTCACCATCCTGAATGAGGCCGATGAGTGTAGTGTCATCTGCAAACTTCAGGAGCTTGACAGAGGGGTCTTTAGATGTGCAGTCGTTGGTGTAGAGAGAGAAGAGCAGTAGGGAGAGGATGCAACCCTGGAGGGCGCTGATGGTGTGGCTGTTTGACATGAATTTCCCCAGTCTCACTTGCTGTTGCCTTTCTGTCAGAAAGCTGGTGATCCATTGACAGATAGAGCTAGGGACAGAGAGCTGGGTTAGTTTGGTCTGGAGGAGTGTTGGGATGATGCCTCTCAAATGACTTCATGACCACAGACTTTAAAGCAACAGGTCTGTAGTCATTATGTCCTGTTATCTTGGGTTTCTTTGGGACAGGGATGATGGTGGAGCGTTTGAAGCAGGCAGGGACTTTGCACAGCTCCAGTGATCTGTTGAAGATCTGTGAGAAGATGGGGGCCAGCTGGTCAGCGCACGTTTTCAGACAGGCTGGTGTCACACCGTCGGGGCCTGGAGCCTTTCTTCTCTTGTTCTTTCTGAAGACCTGATGCACATCATCCTCACTGATCAAGTCTGGTCAGAACGGGTGTGGAGTGTGAGACCGAGAGTTTCAAAATTTACAGTAAAACTCATGCAGGTCTTTAGCAAGTTGTTGATTCTCCACAGTGCTGGGTGATGGTGTCTTGTAGTTTGTAATGTCTTTCAGGCCTTTCCACACTGAAGCAGAGTCGTTGGCTGAAAACTGTTTTTCCAGCTTTTTAGAGTAATTTCTCATAGCCACTCTAATCTCCTTATTCAGTGTTTCTGGCCTAATTGCACAAGATTCTGTCCCCACTCCTGTAGGCGTGGCCTGACGAAGATGTCTTGAGTTTTGCTGTGAACCATGGCTTATCATTGTTGAAAGTTAAATAAGTTCTAATCAATGTAAGATTTAGTTTGATGTATTCCTATATCTATACTGTGTTACAGTGTTTTTTATTTAACTAGATCCTCTCCTCTGTTGCAACCACACTGTGATAATTAGGTAACACTTTACAATAAGGTGTAATTTGTTAACATTAGTTAATGTATTAACTAACATGAACAAACAATGATAATACATTTATTACAGTATTTATTAATCTTTGTTAATGTTAGTTAATAAGTTACTAAAAATACAGTTGTTCATTGTTTGTTCATGTTAGTTCACAGTGCATAAACTAATGATAACAAACACAACTTTTGATTTGAATAATGCATTAGTAAATGTTGAAATGAACATTAGCTAAGATTAATAAATGCTGTAGAAGTTTTGTTCATTCTTAGTTCGTTAACTAAAGTAGTTAACTAATGTTAACTAATGAACCTTATTGTAAAGTGTTACCGATAATTATAACCTTTAATGGTAATGAGATGATAATGGTAATTATAACCTTTGAAGACAACCAATATACAAAAACATTCATGTAACTTCATTTAGATATTAGTAATAATATGTTTCCCTGTGCAGTTCAGATATGCATGTAAATCTTTAATAATACAGCATCTTTAACATTACAAGAACCAAATATTTAGCTTACTAAATCATTAAAAACAAAGTATATCCATATCCCAATCCCAAATATTAATCCCATACAAGGAATAAAATAGAAAGCCTACATATTGACTGTATGTGATATCAACCTATCTCACAAATCCTACAAATCAATCAACCTTGCAAATCTCTTTTCATCTCGTCATTAAAGAGAAATAGATAAAATTTTTCAATTTAAGTTCTGAGATCAATATATCATAAATTCATAAACTGAATAGGCACCAAAAGATGAACAAAGTGTGAAGAAGCAAAAACTTTACATTTGAGATATAATTAATGGAGGCAAATACAGTAAATTGATATTGATTTCTATATGTACATTAACTGACAGTCACCACTGATAAGCTACTACTAAATATATTGTAGAAACTTAATTTTCTGTAAAGTTGCTTTGCAACAATTTGTATCGTGAAAAGCGCTATAAAATTAAACTTGAATTGAATTGAATTATATCTTCTTGCAGAAATCTATGATCCTGTGTTGTATTTGTCTTTGTTTATATGCAGTTTTGAAAGGCAGGAGGATAACAACGCAAGGATCTTTTGTTTAATAATATCTCCCACATGTCTGGTATCCTAAAATGCCAAAAAAAAAATTTAATTTGATTAATTTCACATGACTGAGACAGGTACACTGCTAATAATAATAACATGCTTACATTTTTATTATGTGGATCTGTATGAGCTGAGCTGTTTGAGCCATCATCGGAGCCTAAAACAGAAAACCAAAAATATTTCAATAAACACAACCCTACGGACTGCTCATACAAGACTGTTTAGATTAGCACAGCTGCCATCTTTGTATTTATATCATGTTATATTTTTTAGAGAGTAAAGGGCAAAACATCTGCTCTCATATAATATGACTTAATATTATCAAAACATTACTTAACACATTTAGATATAAGAACTGCAGTTAATCACATCATGCACAATGGCAAAGCCTTTACTGATATATATACATCATGCACATATGAGGAACTTACCACTGACAGGTTTGAAGCCTGAAAAACAACCAAAGAGAAGAACTGTAGGTTCAGTTATTTCACCAATCAACATAAAATCCATTGAAAAAGTAAGAGCCATTTACAGATTAACGTAATCTAATCATATTCTGATTAACAATTAACAATTAGAAAACTATGTTCAGCATACAAATGTTTGAAACCTACTCATGTAGCATCATAAAATTACACATGGTATGTGTTCGTAAAATAATTATATTCAAGACATTTTAAGACTTTTACTTTTTAATCCAAATTTAAATACTAAGAGTAACTTTTGTTTTTCCATCAACAAATTAACACCTTTTCAGACCCTCACCTTTTTTCTTCTGATACACCATATATCCAGCGACACCAATGATAACCAGCAGAACAACAGCAGCAAGAGCACCAACAATGATGCCGATGGGAACAGACTCTCCTGTTTGATCAGAGAAAACATCAGTTTACTCACAGAGCCTGGTAATGTTACTAACCAGTACTGCTGAAACTCTCAAACAGTGTCTGTGATTGTGATATATGCAGTACATTGCTATGTAGTGACAGCTTATTAACAATGTGCAACCATATAACGACAATACAGGCCTAAACATACTGTGTTTGTACTCTATTGTCTGTTTTGTGATTGTTTCCATTTTACTTTACTTTTCAATAAACTTCCTTATTAATAAACCAGTGATCTTTTGGGTTTATTTTTTGGTGTGTCAAGACCTAATACAGTTGGTGGTTAATCTCAGGAGGGACTATATTTGTAGTTCACTCATCTAATTTCTCTTACCTGGGTTAGTAATGATCTCATTTGCTGTCTTGGTTTCACCCTGGTGCTCCACCACACAGCTGAACTTGTTCTTCTTCCACTCCTCAGGTTTAACATTGAGGGTGCTCGTCTTCTGAAAGGTCCCGTCTTCATTGGGTAGAAGTTCACCGAGATCCACATCCTCATCATGATCTTGTCCATTTCTCATCCAGGAGATTGTTACTCCACTGGGGTAAAAACCTGTAGCATGACACGTGACTGGAGACGAGGAAGACTTCTGCAGCAGAGACACCTGAGGAGAGACTGAAGAGAGAGAGAGAGAGAGCTTGAATTCAAGTGATCTTAAATTCATGTCGTCCCAATCACGTCCTTTATAAACCCCCAGCACACTGTCTGTGAAGGCTGGTCTTCATTCAGTTCACTGTATAATGTCAGGTAGAGGTTGAAGTGTGCTGGAACAGCTGGTGGAAAGCTCTGGTTTCTACTAAGGCACTCTGCAGGAGGAGCTGTATGTACTTTCTATGTAACCTTGTTTTCTAAACTTTCGATACTAATAATAACAACTCAATATTTAGAAAAATCTAAAACAGAGCTTCTCGTCATCCTAGCCGGTCTAATTTAGCAAACAAACCCATTTTGATAGGCTTCACAACACAGTAATGTCCTCTACTGTAGGTCAGCCAGGAACCTGATAGTAAATACTACAGACTTCACTGCTATGAGTCTCTGGTGATGTGGATTTGTGCTCTTTAACATCAGGAAGATCAGATTCTTCCTTTCTATGTTACACAGCTCCTTATCCAGGCTTTAGACAAATCAAATCTGTGCTGCTGCTAGTCTTACTGCAGTCCAGAAGTCTTACTGCAGTCTTACTTTGTCATCTAGTAAATAAATACACAAGCAATCTTTTAACTATTGTGTTTATGAAAATGATAACCTGGGGTTAAGTGCTCCTCAGTGGTACAGTAGTGATAGTTCATGGCTTGCAGGGCTCTGATCAGTAAACTAACAGTTAACAGTTCTGGATGTAGTTGCCAACAAACCCATTAATTTAAGAAAATCTTTAGTAATAAGAGCCTAACAGTTTTAACTGAACACTGAGCTTTAGCCACTATAACACATCACACCTGCATTAGTTTATTCTTTTCTAGCCAGTTCATAATTTAACAGATTTAGATGAACATGTTCCTCCTGAACCTGTTTAGCAATTTATTATTCATTTCTACAAACAAAACACATGATCTGTATTGCTTTAATCAAAACATTCTACTCTGAAAGAAAGAAGTTTTTACAGTGATTTCTAGAGTAGAAGACTGTTTAACAAAACATGTATGGCTATATTTTCATATTTTCACAGCTGGATAAGATCTGATGTACCTGTTTTCTGCAGACTGCTCTTTCCATACTGCAGATACTTCTTCAGCCACTCGATGCACTCAGTGCTGAAGTAATTTCTGTCATTCTCAATCAAGCCTCTGTCATTGTTCCACTTCTGTACAGTGAGGATTCCTTGCTGCACTGGAGAAATATATCTCATCTCCTTAAAATCCAGAGACAGAAAATCCTCTCCATCATAGCCATCCTGGAGGAACCCATTTTTTTCTCCAGTCTGATCATCAAACTCACAGCCGTACATTTCCTGGAATATGTGCACACCTGAAGAAGTGAGAGATTGAATGAATCTGTATGAATAACCAATTAATACAGTCAGAATAAAACCATCAGTCAGTCAGAAACATGTTTGACTCAGAATCAAATAAATCTGACTAAACATATTTTAGTTTTTTGGCCTTCATTCTAAATTAAAAAAAAATAATGTAGTAATATTTGAGTTGTGAGTTTACTGACTAAATGTATTATGATAAGAGAACAAGAGCAGGTGCTGAGAAAGAAAACAGACAACATGATTTCTATTGTGACATCTACACCAGTTACACAGAAGAGCACACACAAATCAAACTGTACTGTGTGTAAATGATCAGTCGGACTTAACCACTCACTGACTGACTGAATGTGTCTGAGCAGCTGGTGACTTATTTACTGCATCAGATCTGTGTCTTAGAACCAGAATTGCTCCATTTTAATTGTTAAAAAATTATTATTATTTTAA